AAGGGAATGCTGGTGGATTTACATGTTGTGTACCTGGTTGTTTTTCAAACAACAAAAAGAACCCTGAGATTTTTTTTACAATTTCCCTGAAGGTCAAAGTAAGGAATCTCTACATCTTTGAAAGAAACGGATCAACCTTATTTCTCGCAAGGATCTGCCCGAAAAATGTTTTATTGAAAGACGCATCGTCGAAAAGATGAAGTTTGTGCTTGTCTTAGCAAACATGGCATGGTGCAAGCAGGAACAAGAAAAATTTGAAGAAGCTGTCGACTTTTACAAGGAAGCAGCCACACTCGTTGCTGACAACTAGCTATAGCTTTGACCAAGCTCTAATACTTGATAATCTGGGATTATGTCTTGGATTGAAGAAAGAAGCCCTCGATTTCACTCGCCAAGCCTAAATAATGAGAAACGAGTTAACACAAGAAGTATACCATCCTTTGATTGCTCGATCTCTTTTGAATGTTGGGTTTTGCTTCATTGAGAATGGTGATTACGTCGGAGAAAGAAACTGTTTAGAGAATTCCAAACAAATATACGAAAAAACTGGATTAAAAAACTACATTTCCATTGTTTTGGAAATTTGGCGAGATGTTTGTCTTTAGAAAAACCATCAGATTCCAGTTTAGCTTTGGTTTGCGCACAACAAGCTCTAGAAATGATGACAGAACATGTTGGTGAAGATACTAATAATCCTGGGATTGCCATTACCTTAGCAGTTGTTGGTCTCCGCTTTTTTAAAGCTGGAAGACTTAAAGAAGCAAAGAAAAATCTTTTGAAGGCTTTGGACATGATCAGAAGTTTGTTTTCAGAAAACCATCCTGGTTAGTTGAAATTTACCAGCTGCTTTACATAATGTATAAAAAAGATGGAAAGTTGTAGCAAGCTGAAGATTTTAGTAAAAAAATTTTAACATTATGTGAATTACAGAAGGAGAAAATAATCAATTTAAGAAGGGATGTAGTTTTTTTCAACTTTTTTACAACTTTGCATTACATGCATACTTGCAAATGTGTGTTTCAACTCAGATTGACGATGTTTCGGTGTCTTTTAAAATACGATGGAAAAATTTTCGATGACACCTAAAACGTTTTTTAGTGTGACGATGTCCATTTCCATTGAAAAAGCGATAAAAATGCAGGGCGATAAGATAATATCAGGATTATTAACTCGGTGATAGATTAGCTAAGTCTTATCAACAATTTTTCGGTCTTGCGTTATAATGTTATCATTTGCTGGGAAAGTGATAACCATTGGTATGTTTAGCTTGCTTTGACAATGCCGTGCTGGGTCGCTGACGTTGCCTGAGATTTCTTGGATTCTCTTATTACATTTTCAAATATTTTTTCAAATCATTTTCTTTATATATGAAAAATAGTAAATTTATAATAGTTATAGGACATTTATAGGAGACACACAGGGACGCGCTAGAACGCTAATTGGGGGTGTATTCATATAACCCGTTTGTGGGCGAGTAGTTTCTTTCATAAAGCGATTTGGTTTTCTAAAGACGTCAGTTGGGCACAACTGAATATATGAATATAAACCCCCCAATTAGTGTTCTAGCACCGTCCGTGCAAACACAACCCTCCATACAAGAGCAGCGTCAGCACTTCCCCTACAATTATGGTATGTGAAAGCTTTCTTAAATTAACCTTGGTGACAACAGTATTATATTGTTAAGGGTTGGTTAGTTATTTCTTGTTGTTGTGAGTTTACATGATTTTGTTACACTAAAACTTAGTAATGCACTTTTAATTTTTAAGCAGGTGCCATGCATATCTCAAAGAATTAATCATCTGTGCCTGCAATGACTGAAGATGAAGCTTGCGTACTGTTTAACGAAGGAGAACATTCTTTTATGAGGATGTGTTTCATTTACTTGAAAGTATCAGTCCAGATTGCTTGTATTCGATGTATCGCTTACGATTCAAGGGAAGAGAAAGAGTTTGGCGAAAATATTGAAATTGATCCCTAAATTTCTTCTGAGGAACATCCTGAAGGACATACAACAGCACCGGGAAAGACTAATAAAGATTTTTCCATCTCGTAAAAGATATCGAACAAACCAGCTTAACAAAAGCACTTTTTAGGCTTCGTCCAGATGAATGTCTAGGAAGCAATTACCTTTAGAAATAATTGGGAAGGGCAAACCTAACTGCAACATCAAATGTTGACAAAAAATGTAGGAAAACATGCCTTAAAAGCAAAACATAATTTCCTGTTTGAGGATTAGAGCAAGATGAAATGTGCTCTGTAGGATATAATTTCTCAAGAATTAGACAAAATGATCTTATTTCTGCTTCGACGATCTCCACAAGTTTTCATGTTTTAACAGTTTTAAGGAAGATCCTTAAGAAGCACATGGTAAAAAGCATGCCAACCAGTGGCATAAGTTTGAACCAGCTTGCCTGCGGTTATTCCAGGATGGGGTCCTTCCAGGTAAAGGTCAAGTGAAGTGTATGCATGAATGTAATATATCAAAATCAATTTATGCGAGTGTTTGATGCGATATATGTCAATATGGCGTATGGTAACCAGATTGATGCTTCTAAAATTATTGTTGCCGACGGACTTTTAGATATGATTTCTTTAGTGCTTGGGGAGTCGTGGCCGTTATATGGCAGCAAAATCCTACATTCCTGCAAATATATTTCAATGGACAAAAAATCTGTAGCCATAAGGCGCCATACTATTATTTACTTTATCATAAACAAATGTTTGGGGCTTTTCAGTTTATCAGATCATTGATCTGTTTAAGATTTGAGAAAACTAACATTGATTACATGAGAAGCTGTTTACTATAACCTGTGATTTTGAGTCTTCTGATCCATGAAGCTTTTTATTTTGACAATTTAACCGGAATGGTATTAAACCTGAGTATTTCACATACATGAAATGTTGTCCCATGTTACATATTGTCCCCTTTTCTAACTGAACACCTCATGTAGAGATGTAAAGCTGTGTTAATCGACGGCTCATACCAGATTGTTTGCCATAAATTCCAAAGGGCTATTGATGTATGAAAAGCATTTTCTATAAAGTAAAAATGTCTTTCTATGTATGCATATAAACCTTGAAATTTGGCAAAACAGCAAAGTATTTTTCATGATCACAAGGTAATTTTTCTGATGATCGTTATAATTTTTAAACTAAATTATTTCAGATTTACATTTAAAGAGCTTTGATCATATGAAAAGATATTTATCATAACCAGTAAGCAAGACACATTAACCAATTTTAACATTCTTGTAATTATATAATTAAAGACATGTTGGTTACATTCTGTTTGTATTTGCAAATACAATGTTACTAGTGATTGCTATATAGCACACTTTGCATATACTTACAGAAGATAATAGTCTAGTGAAATGCCTGATAAACATTTATGGCATTAAGCTGTCCTTAACTGCAAATTTTCACTCTGATAATTTTTGCTTAATCTTTGGCAGAAAAAAATTTTTTTCTCAAAATTTTTTTCTCAAAAAAGAGTTTTTTCTCAAAAGGTGAATTTGCTTGCACTGGTGTGGAGATGGGTAAAGGGTTACAATAAACTTGCATGGTTTGAAGTCTGAGCTTTTCTATATCTATGAACTGTCACTTGTAGTACCAAATTTCTAACTTAACTCATTACACAGAGGTTTGAATGGGGGTCTTTTGGGGGTTCTATGCCTGACAACTTGGTAGAAATTTTTAAAGACTATATCTGTTTTTGAATAGCATTATTGTAAAATAAATTTTACGTTTCTAGACATGCTAATGAGTCCTATATTTGGCATGATAATGAGCCTAAATATTTGGCAAAACATTCAAGTATTGTTCACTTCATTCTTTTTTGAACAAAACGTAAGCAAAATGTGTTGTTTTTACGCAAAAACGATGCCCACAAAATACATTTTGTATTGCTCTAAAATGCTGAAAATGGCATTTTCAAGGCTCTGAAATTCAAAATTTCTCAGGGTTGAATTCCTAAGACCCGCCCAGGTACGGAGCGCCTCCGACGTTTTATGACTGATGTTTGAAAAATCCTAGATCCGCTCCTGCTACAGAACGCTAATTTAAGCCATTCCATTGGTCAATAGCCAGATCAGTCGACGGTCTGGAATAATCTCGACCGATAATCGGGGTGGCCGGACAGATAAGAGAGTACAATTGCTATAGTGTAGTTGCTTCGTTAACTCGAAAGCAGATCAGGGCAAAAACATCTTTATATTTCTTTTACAAAATAAAAATAATGTGATAAAGATAAATTCAAAACAAAGGTTTTAATATTTCCTCTAACATGTATTCATGATTGATCGGCAAATACTCTTTAATTGATTTAACTGATGAGGCTCAGCTATCAACCAATCAACGCAATCGTTTTATTGTTTTTATTTTAAATAGTGCAAATTTGTCAGTTGTCATTCGGGGAAGAAAAGGAAACGAATTTTATTTATTTCTTCCACTATTAAATTAAAGTGAAATGAATAAGGAGTGTTTTGAGGAGAACACACGGAAACTAAGATGGAAACCATTTTTACGTAATTAACTATTATAGAATATAAGATTGCTAGTTGAATTTTCAGGCTTGCATTAGCTAGTTCTTGTGGAAATGACCGCATGTAGTGCTCCTGTCATTACGAATAATTTATGTATGTAAAAGTTTTATCGTGACTTGACACTCTGCACTTGCAGACTATTTAAGTTTTATAAGATATGCTAAGTCTTTATGTGTAGGAAATGCTAAATACAAATGAGAGGACATAATTTCGGAGAGTTTAGATCAAATGGGTAAACTACAAATGTAAAAACAGCTGTCCATTTACTGAAATCCACTGTCTTTAATTAAAAATTTTTGTTGTAGCAACAGTTGCTAGTAGCATAACTAATTATTGGCCAACGAATATGATTCGTTCAATTTCATCAACATTCCTTCTATCTTAGATACCAACCTGCAGTGTTTGATTGCGACCATACGTCTGCTATGATAAGGAGCTTTACAATTCTAAAAGCAATCGCATTGGAAAAGATACCATCATTTTTCTCAAGACTTTTTACGGTATATTGACAAATTTCTGATTTGAACAAGCTCTTCACTTCTCTCGAAACAGGTACGTCTGATTTACACGAATTTTGCCATGTTAAAATATAGACGTTTGTTCAAAGAAAAAAATTTTTTAATTGTTTGGTTTCTGATATCTGGCGATATTGCCAAAGTGATTCTTGTTGCTCTTATGATAGCTACTAAGTTCCTCTATTCTCACAGGATAAGATTCGTACCGTTTTAAATGTCACTATTTTCAGATATGGGATTTCTAGAGAAAAACTGCTGTGATGTGAGTCATAACAAGTCCCTGTTAGTGTTATATATTTTCTGTTAACCGAAACTTGTACTTAACCCTCTAAGGGCCATATGTAGTAAAATGCATCATAATGTAAATACTCTATGCGGTCTGCGTTAAAGAACTCGAGATTAACAAACTTTTAGGCGGACACACACAATGTGTATAGCATCGTGTTGTGACTCTGTTGGGGCCAGATGTTTTCTCAATTAAGTTTCGTTTTTAATTTCTTTTTCGCAAGCAATGGCCACTAACAGGTTGAATTGTTCGCCATGGCGGTTACTAAATGAAAAATGCAGACATGCGAACAAATAGAGAAAAGGGAAGCTGTAAAGCAGCACAATTGTTTTGATGTAAAGGAAGTTTCTTGTTTTGTTCATTTTTAACCTTTTACTTCGTTCCCCATTCGCTAATATATGTGCTTTAATTCCCCTAGTTATTACTGTATTGTAAGTCTACATTATTTAATCAATCTTAGCAGTGGCGGGGAGTGCATGGGGGCCGAGGCCCCCCAACTGTTGATTACTGGGGGGGCGCAGAAATGAATATGAGTCACGAAGTTTTAAATTTGGGCTAGAAAAATGAATTGAAGCAGAACAGTTATTTCTACAGTTATAATATGCAGTTAATGAAGTTAACTTTGGGAAAAAGGAAGACTGATCAAAGTGAAACCTTGTAAGGGGGTCGTTTTACAGTGAATTAAGGAATAAAGTAATTGATGAGCATTCTTGATGTTTCTTATGTGGCCAAAACACCTGACTTGTCAATTGTCACAATAACTGTAGACAACATACAGGGCCAAATTTAATGTCCTCTTAGGAGGCGCAACAAGGCCTAAAATTGTATAGTTTTTGCCTATTTCAATCAATTTTCTTGGCTTTCTCCCACAGACAGGAATCGTTACTGGCATTGCATCTTATTATTAATCCAAGCTTAATAATATTATTTGTGGGTAGCCTGCTTACAGGCTAACCACAATGTTATACTAAAAAATGTCCAGATGTCCAGGAGCTAAGACGGCAATTCACGAATTGACACGACTACATGACGATGATGCGTTAAGGAAAATATTCGAAAGTATGAAATTAAGGAAATTCGTAAAATTTTAGTAGCAATACTTGAAATAAGCATCTCAAAATATGATACAGGTATACTAAAGATTAGTATTAATACTGAACATCAATCATCTACAATACAAGACCTCCCATAGGATTAAAAATAGAAATATAATTGTATAAGATTCTGTTGTGAAGATTCTCTATTGAAGAGGACAAAAAATTAATTTTTTGTTAAAATTTTTGAGATTTCTTGAGGACGTTGCTACTCCTGTTATAGTGGCAAGCCTACTTAGCAGGTCTATTGAGTCATTGACTGAAGTCTGCCTCTCAAACAGACGTCCGACTTGTTTCAGTCGTTTAAGTCGGTCGTCCATAGAGCGCGAGCTTATAAACTAAGAAGACGGACTTTTAGTTGGTGGTATTTGGAGACAAAATTATCATTTTTGTTGATAAATGATCTATAATATTTATGTTATCATTACAAAAATATGACCGTCGGACTTCTCTAGTGATTTCTCATGTAGTTAATTAAATATTAGTCATTTACGCTATTCGCTTACCTATTTTTAATTCTAGTAGTGGCGCAGTCATCGGTAGAGTGTAATCAAAATGCAAAGGCTAACATAAAGTATCGAGACTCAATAATACTGCGGCATGTACTGCAAATTTCATTAGTTCAAAGGTGAAGGGGGTGCAAAATTTGCTTTGGCCCTGTAATAGTTTTTAATGCTGGATTTTTGAGTTCAGTTATACATCGGTTTCTTAGTATATATCGTGCGCGTGCTATATATCTCTATCTAGAATTCATCTCTCACAAAGATGTCACGTGGAGTGACATTGACTTGCAACATCGTCCGTTTTATCAATAACATAACGTAGTTATAATATGTGTGCTATAGTGCTGTTTTCAAGCAAGGTCTGTTTACTTTCGCGACATATTGTAGTCTGCGTATCGTGATGGAGTACGTATGGGTTGGCTGTATCGGGATGTTTGATGAGGTGCTGATGACTTGTCGGGATTAGGTTTTGACAGCGTTTGCAGGTTATCATAGTTGGTCTTGACTTTAAATGGTTCTTTTGTTGGTAGGAGGTGACGCCTGTTCGTACGGACCATGTGCCCCTTTTCATTCATGACGAGGTATGCTCTAGTTTCCTTACACTTCTTGACTACTTGTCCGGTTTGTGCCCAGCTGTTGTCGTTGTTAGTTCGAATTCGGACAGTGGTGCCTGGCTCAATATTTGATAGGTCTCGGGCATGATAATCATACGCTGCCTTGACGTAAGAGTTGGAGAGAGTGACATTGATTGTTTAACCTTTTGCTGCGGGAAGGGTTGTGCGTGGGTTCCTGTGATACATTTTGTAGGATGGGGAATTGCCATCATTTGCGGGTGTTGTATTGAATATTAGTAATGAGAGAAATGGATCATTCTTAGCTTCCTGAGCTTTCTTCATTGTTTGCTTGACTGTTTGGATATATCGTTCAACGCGACCATTTGATTGAGGGAAGTGAGGACTTGAGTTGTCATGTCCAAAGTCCCATTCTCGAACGATTGGACTTGTCAAATATATCATCCAGATCCGATATAGAAGTGAAACAACCAATCACTTAAAGCATATCGAGCATACAGCTTGGCATGCTTAACTAACAGAGGAGCAACTTCTTCCAGTCCAAAACTCTTCTCTAATTTGTTGCACGTCATCAAGAAAAAATGATGCATGCGTCATCGAAAATACTATGTATATCGACGATGTAAGCATTATAGAAACTTTACCTAAAATTGTATATGAGAATTGAGTCGATATATTTGAATTAGTGCTATGTTTTGAAGCGTAGACCTTATAGCTTATAGTTTGGTAAAGCTTTAAGACAAGTACACCAGTATTTTTATAGATTGCAAAGACATGGTCATTGAGTGAGTCTTTAAAATCATCTCATGACTATTCGAAGACGACGTTTTCACTCCACTCCGCATGAAGAAATAAGTTTGGCATTGATTAGTGGGAGCGAGACTTCTGGGTCGCACTCAATGAGTGTGATTGAGCTTTCAGAATGCAGACGGTATATACAGTGGATAAAACTTTACTTGGAGACTTGCGCTGTATTCAGGGGGAAAAATCTCCCCCAAAAGCTAAGTAAATTTTGTATATCTTGCATAGCGTTTTTTTCGTTGATTTTGTCTGCACAAATGACGAACTTAAAACGATGTAAACGTGTATTGGGAACGTGTGTCTAAATAGCGTGTCTGTTTTTCCATGGAAATCAAACGTGTATAGAAACACGCTTCAAAAAAACATTTTGCAAATTTTTTAATTTGAAAGTTACATTTAGCGATCATTAGATCAAGTTATCCTGTTCTACAAACATCGTTCATAAATTATATAGTTCATACTTATATAATATCGTGGCAGCACAAAAGTCATTCGACTTTTTAAATAGACGACAATTTTTTTAAGAGCAATTTGTTTTTGTTAAATCAGAGAGTTCTTAATACCAGCTAATGAAATGGAATTGCTTGTGACATAGATTCAACTGCTCACAGCTACCATGCGAGTTTGAGGCCTTGAAATGAATACTTTTTCTTTTGAATTCCTTTTTTTATCCAGCTCAGCTCGCTAGTACATAAACACAGGTCTTGCAAATCGATCACTCCTGATGAAACGAATGGTATATAAAAAAGAAAGTAGGAGTTGAGAAGTTTGTTTAAGTTCAATTGCTCGTATGGAATTTTGCATACTAGAGGAAATTATGGCACAAAACAATCTGAAAAGTCTTGGCAAGTTTTTGTAGCTTTAATTTTATTCGTTTTAAACGTTAAATTTGGCATAATTAGGACGCATAGTTCACAAGTAAATATGAGGTATCGCTATCTACCAATTACGCAGTCAGCCCGCTTGCTTAAACCTGTTATACGAACTTTTATCTGATTTTATGCTCTACAGAAACTGTAGATTTCTTAAGAATTGAATCATGGCAATGTCTGGATGTTCACTTGTCACTACCAAAACTTGCAGGCTGGCTACATATAGTATTTAGATTCTTTAAGGAAATTAAACAATTAAAGGCCTTTGCAAAATGGCGTTTCAAGCACTTGCAATTTATTTGCAGTAATTTGACAAAGATCACAAAATTTGTGAAGAATCATGATATATGCAAAAAATTATTTTGAGTCTCTTTAATGGCATGTCTGACTCTGACTCTGGCAAAATAACTGTTTGATATTTAACATAAGTTTCCTTTAACCTTAAAAAGTATTAAATCTACAGAGTGTATCAAAATAAGAAAACCTTCAGAAATTTACGTATTGCGATAATTACTTTACCTATCACTATACTTAGCTCAGGGGCATACATTATTGCGAGCTGCTTGCAAAGATTACGTTGCCCAAAGGCAAAGTGTGTTTCACGCATTTTTCGTATTGCGAAAGGATTAATATGACATAACTTTCATAACGACCAATTCTGTAGTTTAGAAAGTGGGTGTCATATAAAAAATTTAAACTTATGTTAGCTAGTTAAAAATAGAACCCAAAAAATAATGTAATTATTATATACATGCTTTATTTCTTTATATAGCTTGTAAGGAAGCTGGTTCGTGTAAGTCTGTAAGGTTGTTAATTGATGGTAGCGTAAGTGATAGTCAAATCGATGCATTAGGATTAATATTCTTCGCTACATCTGACCTGGTGCTGTTTTTGATTACGACGGCACGTCTAATTGGAGAAGACATTTCTACAAATTCGTTCTTTTCGAAACTAACAGCATCTTTTTTATAAGATTTGCAAAGTTATCATGAATTTCTCACGTGAACAATTTCTTTACTCCCAGTGACAGAAGCGTGTCATAGAAAATTATGTGAATAAATTTTACGTTGAATGATTAAGAACATTTGCTCCTTGATGAGCATTTTCGGTAGTTTTCCATTACATGTTGGAAAATAAGAAACTATAACCGTTGAGCATAAGTAAGAATTATATTTTATGGGGAAACTGCTGCGCAAAATAAATTTGCTACCGGTATGTTGTTGTGTGTTTACGTTAATGTATCAAAAGAGTATCACCCAGCACGACTTGCTTTAACTGCATATTTGACATATTTGACAATCATGTTCACCGCTTCCTCAACAATATATTTGACACCCAAAGATCCTATTCACACTGCTCCTTAGAAAATCTTGTACTTTTGTCTCCTTTTCATTGGCCTACACTGTCTTCAGATTCGCACTCAAATCACTCGACTCTGTAATGCTGCCTTTCCTCATATTAATGTTTGCTTTGTTTTTTATTTATCCAAGCGTCTCTCCTCTTTCTTTTCTTTTAAGGACAGGGCTCTCAAGTTCCTGAGATCTGGTGTTTTACACTCATTTAAGTGTCGATGTTGCTCCACCTCGTATGTGGGTCAAACTACGCGTCATTTACAAACCAGAATATTAGAGCACTTGGGAATCTCTCTCTTAACAGGGAAACCTTCCTCTTGTCCACCACCATCCGTATTTCTTTCCCATATAAGAAACACATCTCACTCTGCCGGCTCTGAGGAGTTCTCAATTCTCTCTTCCTTTTCAGACAACTATAACCTTATGATTCATAAAACCTTACTATTAAGATAACTAAACTTAAACCCTCTCTTAACTCTCAAGGCAACTCAATCCCCGTTCACTATCTGTATACTGCTCTTTTCATTTAATTCCGTAATCTAAACTTCATACTCTCCTCACATGTAATTTAACATCTTGTAATATATACTTGTATTTGAAAACCTCATGTATAGAATTTATCTCAATTAATCTGAAGATATCTTAAGTTAAAGACGAAACGTAATTATAAAAATAACATTTTATCTTTCCTTATTTCCTTGTTGTGATGGCTATTTTTTTAAAAGTCTTATGTTGGGCTATTTTGTTCATATTGAAAATTCAATTATAGACAGTTAGTTATTTTATCTTCATCAACAAATTAGATATAATAACGTAACAGCAACGCGTGTGTTCTAGCATTCTTTTGAAATGCGTTCGAATTGCGATAAATTAAAGGGCGACCAAGCGTTTCTTTTGAAAGACGACCGTGTATCAACGTGAAGTGTTTAGTACTATTCTATAAGTAAATGGGTGCTATAGAAATGTAAAAACTCCCGTCGATTTGGTAAAATTAGAAATTATAAGATGTTAACTTGTTATAATTTTTATGCATTTTTTGCAACTGTATTGAAAAATTTGAAAATTATTCTGTATATAATAGTTTGTCAACAGTATACATCATAGTTAACACAATCTCAACGTTAGTAATGACTTCTGAAGAAGTGGGAGCCTGCAGTGCCTTTAGAATTTTTAATTGCTACAGCTCGTCTTTGTTAAGGGAGTGACTTAGCCAATCATATATGCATTTACGTTGAAGAAACAGCATCACTTTCGGAAGACTAATGGTAATATCGGGACGAATTTCAAACGTTAATCTCTTCACTCAAGTCGACACAGGTGCGTAATGATAATAATAGTTGAGAGCAATTGCTCAAGGAAAAAGCAATTGTTAACATTTGAATATCTGGCAGCCAAAATTCCAATATTGAGATTAATTTGCATTCAACATCACCCTAACGACTTTGTCTGGTTATTTCTGATGAATTTGATCACCAAGATTTTTAATGTACACGTAAGAAGTAAGAAATAAGTAATCAAAAATTATTTGTTTTCATATAATGTCAAAAAAGTACAACTTTTGTTGAGTCATTAAAGATTGATACTTCCAATTTCTTCTCACAACAATAATAACACTCAGTATAATAAGTAATTCTAATGAAACGTTTATTGGCGACAGGTAATAAACTTCTCTTTTGATTTCTTTTATAATAAATGATTGAAATCCTTTTAATAAGCAGCGCGAATGAGAAATTTTGTAACAAACAACTAACGCAAGCGTATTTTATCAAATATCGTTGTGAGGCCGCTTCAAAATTTGACACCAAAGTATGCATTAATCTCTTGAATGACAACTCTTACAACTATATGGAAATTTGTAGATTTAATGTTGTAATTCAATCGACAAGATTGACAATTATATGGAAAGTAGACTTAAAATTTTTTAGTCCGGCATTCACTATAATGAGAAGCTGTGAGCATTTATTTCTTATATAATTTTTGTACATTGCATTAATTAACAACATACTTTGACATGAACAAGTAAACTATAGTAAGGTGAACCATTGAGTTCTATTAAATTACCAGGAGGGGAAAAGTTGTCTGGAGCAGGTTAAAAAAAACATGGTGGCGAATAGGAAATTTTGGATGAAAACTACAAATTCTGTTCTTGTCGAAACAAACAGCATCTTTTTTATAACATTTGCAAAGTTATCACGACTTTCTCACGTGAACAATTTCTTTACTCCCAGTGACAGAAGCGTGTCATAGAAAATTTATGTGAATAAATTTTACGTTGAATGAATAAGAACATTTGCTCCTTGATGAACATTTTCGATAGTTTTCCATTACATGTTGGAAAATGAGAAACTATAACCGTTAAGCATAAGCATCCAAAAATTCATCTTCGAAATAGTGAAAACTCTGACAGTTTTAGGTCTTATGCTATATATTCTTGATCATATACATTTAGAATCATTCTATTTTAGCCGATTCCATTTCTAAAGAAACTATTGAAAATATTCATATGCTATTTTAATACATGCTTTTTTAAATTGTTGTTGCCTGTTAGCTATTTCAGCATGCTATTTCGATAAAGAAGTTTCACACATACTGTTTTGAAAACTTACGATAATGATAAACAATTATTTTGATACATGCAGTTTTAAAAAACGTATTTCCTCAACTTGCACATGCGATTAGTCGACATAAAATTCATGGTTGTGTTATGGTTGGCTCAGTTGTAGCCATCCTTTCCATTGCAGTGATTTAAAATATAGTCATTTAAAGTAATTCAAACTTTCCTATCGCTGCATATTAGTTTTCAATTAAGTGAAAACGCCTTATTTTGCACTTCTTTATGGTTTTGCGTTATTAATTTCTAGTATACACATTTCAAAGACAGAATTTGAGTTGACTTATGACAATTTTTTGCCATATTATCATATGAAGACGATGTATTGTTAACAATATGCCATTATAAAGCTGTTTGAAACTTCACTTATTACAACAAAATTCCACCTACAAATTGATACGCCCATAAACTTCTATATAAACAGACAGTATAGCTACAGACAATTTTATATAGTGTCGTTAGATCAAATTATTTTTGCGATTATTGTTCTCATAATATTTTGGTAATACCATATTGTCCATATTGCCGATTATTCTGTGTCAATCAAAGGTGGAAAACTTTCCACTTTAGCAAGTGTTTCGATGTATCAGTTTTACATATAAAAAAAGTGTGCAGAAGCTAGAAGTTATTTCATTTTGATGATTGGGGGTGGGGGGGCATAATTCATATATGCATGTATAATTTGTACAAAACAACCTATTTCAAATAAATAAAATACAACAGAACATGAATATATGAATGTTCTCTCCCCCCTTTTTTTATTAACCCGTTTTCGCCACTGATTAGTTTAGTTAACCATAATAACGGGGCAGCAGTTTTAACTTCTTGCAAAAGTACGACTAGATTTACCAAAAACAATATTGAATTTTATAATTGATGAGGTCTTCTTACCTTAGTGCAAAAAAATTATTATTGTAGCTATTGTTAGCACACAACCTTCCAGTTTCCAGCATCAATTGCGTTAACGCCTGCTGTGCAAAAAACATTTGCTGCCGGTATGTTGTTGTGTGTTTACGTTAATGTATCAAAAGAGTATCACCCAGAACTACTTGCTTTAACTCCATATTTCACATATTTTACAATCATGTTAACCGCTTTCTTAACAATATATTTGACACCCAAAATCCTATTCACACTGCTCCTTAGAAAATCTTGTACTTATGTTTCCTTTTCACTGGCCTACACTGTCTTCAGATTCGCACTCAAATCTTTCGAGTCTGTAATGCTGCCTTTCCTCATATTAATGTTTGCTTTGTTTTTTATTTATCCAAGCGTCTCTCCTCTTTCTTTTCTTTTAAGGACAGGGCTCTCAAGTTCCTGAGATCTGGTGTTTTACACTCATTTAAGTGTCGATGTTGCTCCACCTCGTATGTGGGTCAAACTACGCGTCATTTACAAACCAGAATATTAGAGCACTTGGGAATCTCTCTCTTAACAGGGAAACCTTCCTCTTGTCCACCACCATCCGTATTTGTTTCCCATATAAGAAACACATCTCATTCTGCAGGTTCTGAGGACTTCTCAATTCTCTCAATTCTAACTTTATGATTCATACGAGCTTTCTCATATGTAAACATAAACCCTCTCTCAACTCCCAAGGCAACTCAATCCCCCTTCACCTTCTGTATACTGCTCTTTTCATTTAATTCCGTAATCTAAACTTCATACTCTCCTCACATGTAGCTTAACACCCTGTAATATATGTTGTATTTAAAACATCATGTATAAAAGTTATCTCAATTAATCTGAAGATGTCTCAAGTTAAGGACGAAACGTAATTATTTAAAAAAAACTTTTATCTTTCCTTATTTTCTTGTTGTGATGGCTTTTTTTAAAAGTCTTATGTTTGGCTTTTTTATTCATATTGAAAATTCAATTATATAAAGTTAATTATTTTATCTTGATCAACTAATTATATATAATAACGTAACAGCAACGCGTGTGTTCTGGCATTCCTTTGAAATGCGTTCGAATTGCGATCAATTAAAGGGGACCAAGCGTTTCTTTTAACAATTCCATAAGTAAATAGGTGCTATAGATATGTAGAAACTCCCGTCGATTTGGTAATAATTTTTCTTTTTTGAAAATACTTTCTAAAGTTTTAGTCTGTCAAGTAACACTTGTTGCTTTAGAAAAGATGCACTAATAAATTATTCAATGAAATCTTGCTAATTTAAGTTAGCACTACATATTTATTTTTACTAAACAGTCATGCAAAGGCTACTTATTTACATATGGTTTCAAAACAATAGAGTCCTTAAGTGGTGACGTCACGTTTCCATGGTGCTAAAAATCTCAGTTCCAAACAAGCGCCCATTCGAATCAAAATGGAGACATTATCCATTGCTTCGCTTTTTTCTTTCTTCTCAGAAGAAAAGAAATCTGTAAACCACGTTAAGTCAGATAAAATTAAAGCATTTACTTACCAGCAGAGTGTTTTACGAGGAGAAGTACACGCAAGAATGAAACAAAAGGTTTATAAAGTGACGGTGAATGTCAAATGTCAAGATTAAGTTTTAGACTGTTTTTGTTGCCCAAATGAACACGAGGGCGAGATTTTCTCTAGTAGTGAAATAAAAAAAGGCTTGTTAATAAACGATTTTTTTAAAAAAATTATGATACTCGTCGGTTTTCAGTCCTCAAATTGACCTACCACTACTAGTTTGGTGTGAGGGAGTTGGGGTAAAAGGCTATACACATATTTGCATTTTTATTAATAAACACAAGGATAACATGGTATTTAAAAGACATGGAAAATTGGTACATCATTTAATGTTGTTTTCCTGGGGGGAAGGGAAACTCCCTTATAAAAGTGATGGGATGCTCATGGGAAATGTTCAGAAAGACCCCTCAATGGTAGCTGTGGGCAGTACTTGCTTTTATTTTTATCCCCAAAAAGACATCCATTGTAAAACATATGTCAAAACTTCTTTTAACTTCTGTTCTCCAAAACATGATAAACGAATTCTCGCAGTGATGTAATTTGACACCCTATGTACACCCAGGCTGTTCCAGATGATAAATATTGTAATCCCTAGGAGGTAAAATCATCCCTTTACTGTTATATTAGAATGCTATCCCCCTCTAGCTGTATTTTCTTCTAAGTAAGCCTCAGTCTACAAATTATTTTATTTCTATTTGAACAACAATAATTATTAAAAAACTGTCCAATGTAGTCTTCAAGCATAAAACTAATCAAAAACCATATCTTCACAATCCCTCTTTGATGAAAGGAAATTGCAAATTTACAAGTGCCGCCCATAACTGAAACAAAATGTCAGCATAGCAGCACAAATACGAAGGAATGATGCCTAAAATTTTGAAGTCTAGCATTGGCTCTTTCGACATAAATCCGTGCTTTAGCTATAGCGTTTGTTTTCTTGACCTCACTCTCTGTACAACATCCTGGATAAGGAAACCCTTGTCCGCCAGAATCATATCTCCAGCTGTCAAGTGATTAAGGAGTCAGACTGTTGCACAATGGCCTTGTCTGAAATAGAACCTGGATACAGCCGACTGACATTAGTAATGACTCCATTTGGTGCAACACCAACTATTACCATAAAGGAATTCATTCCTCTCATAATTAAAGCTTTAGACATTCAAAACAAAGGAAGCCTGTCCAAAGCGCTCGCATAAGATAATTTGCTTAGAACTGCATTTTTTAGCGCCATTATAACGAGACGTCACACTTAAGGACTCTATGAGACATGTTTTATTATTTTTTCCAAAAAAATTGCTGGTATGCATTATTTATGAAGTAGCAACGTTTAAGTCTTATCTTTTTGTTTCTTTTAATGATTCTTCTAACATGCCGCGTGTCAAACTGAGTGTTCCATTTTAAGATGTCGTCAGTGTATGTCGGAGCACCCCTAAGTCCAAAAAAATGTGTAATTACTCTGTTCAACATAATTTATGATTTCAAAAAGTGGGTTTTATGCATGTTAAACTCATGTTGGTGCTGTTGTTATCTATCCATCTTTATATAACAATAGTAACCTCTGTGTAATAAGCGTTTTTGATAGGATAGTATTGGTAAAATCTTATTTGTGAAGAATGCCTGTACATTCAATTTTTCAACCTTCTTTTTTAAATAGGAGACTCCTGCAGCTTGTAATGATGAATGTACGTCTACTTTGGGGAGGAACTTTGAAAATCGTCAAACCATTAGCTTTTGAACGAGTGCAATCATTCTGTCACAGCTTTTGGAGGAATGATGGAAAATATCAAGTGAGAATAGCTATGATTTCACATAGGTCAACAAAAGTACTTTATAAAAATGCCTAAGTACCTTACTATTGCGTGACATGAAAGAAAGTGTTTCTTTTACGAATTTTAGCCTCCCCCCCCCCTCCACCACTATGTAGATGGTTCAAACAGAAAAATTTAAGTTCATTGACTTTGTCTCCAAAGTTGCGTATCATTGAGTTGAGCCATAATGACACTTGTAACCAGGAGAGAAAATAGAACGTTAATTCGGGAGGGGTATATTTTCATATATGCAACTCTTCCCTGCTGATTTCTTTTGTTTGCGATGTTAATTTCAAAAGAAGTCAGCAGGGCAGAGCTGAATATATGAATATTCACCCCTCCTCCCAATTAGCGTTCTAGTTTCTCCACTGAAGCTATTGACAATTATAGCCAAATAATACAAGAAATATTGCCAAGTATGAAATTACAGTTGTGCCAATATCCCATTTTGCAAACCACGGTTCGATATGAAACTACCCTTTGAACAGTTCCTTGATGAATGTATTGGAAAAGTTAACAATTTTTTGTTCCGGAATGTCTCCTTGACTCTGTGCATTTACTAGAAAGCTCAAAAAAATTTGATTGCAATCCAATGCATGCACCTCTTAATAAATTTGATGTAGCCCTTTATTGAAAAATGGTTAAAGATATGCCTTACCTATGAGATCTGTAATCTGATTAGAAAAGTTTTTAGGTCTCAATAGAATTATGTTTTCGCTCCCTTAAGTGATAAAAACAAGAGAAATTTTAGGTATGAGTGATTTGAAGAATCTCAATAGCTTTTTTATTTCCCATCTGAAGATGGTGAATATAGTTTATCTTGTGCAATTTGGGGGACTTTTACCTTATAAAATGTTCTGGAAGTTCTAGATTAGTTGTACTCCTTGCGGTTGGCAATGGTGTGGGCTGTCCATACAAGAATCAGGCTGTCAAGACTCTTTGGCATGCTGATAAGAGCCGGATATATGGCAAAATAGCCAAACAACTTAATAACTATTTTAATGTTAGAAATGTAGATTTTTACGTACAATTTCTAGTTATAAAATACGCTTTTTATCCATCTTAAAATGCTGAAAATTGCATTTCAAAAACAATAGAAATCAACATGCCCCCAAATTCTCCTAGATGAAGGACGCTTCCGGCCTTCAACGAAACGTCTACGGCGTTTAATGAATTTTGTTGCAAAAATCCTAGATCCGACCCAGTAATTCCCCTAACTATGCATACTAATTTTTGGACTGTAGATTATATTACGATGCCACCTCTAGTATAATTTATAATCCCTTTGATTCAGGTTATAAATGTTACAGCAAAAAAACTTGTGCTCGCTTATTGATAATTAAAATTTTCTATAAGACGTTGTAATTTATTAACTTTTTAGTTGTTATCAGCAGTTGTTGGTGTTAGTCAAAAATGAACGTATTTAGATGCATTCAGTTTGATTAACATTCTATTTTAAACAGAAATCTGCTACCGTTTTTGACGGTGTCTCTAAATCTAATTTGGGAAAAGACATCACAAATGATCAAGCAATCATTACTCCAGTCAACAAAGGTGGGTCAGATGTAGCTATACTAATTTGTTAATTGAACAGAGAATTTTTTTGAAAGAAAAACTATTATGGCATTCAACTTGTTATGGAAAGCTTGATACCATCTTTACTTGTTCCAGGCACGGCAGGCCAACATAATGTAAATTAACGCCAGAAACACTACATGTTTGTAAATGTACATCGTCCAGGTTAGTATAGTCCTAAGAACGACTGTTTTTGTTGTTGTTGACTGACGTTTCGACAATCTTACAATACCAACCTGGACGATTTACATTTACAAACATGTAACAATAGTCCCGGGTTTAAACCATTTACTTTATTGCCCGAAACACTAGTCATCTAGTTATAATGTTGCAACTTAATTAGGAAATTGAACGAGAGTTACCTGAAGCTGATTGGGATTCTATTAGTATCTACAGAGCAGAGACAACACAAGATACTACGCATGCGCACGTTGGTCATATTTCAAAGATAGTGGCCACATGAACCGCCTAAATGTGCATATGAACGATATGCAGGGAGGCGATAACACGATGGGTGGGCGTGTAATCTCTCCTCTGTAGATGCTAATAGAATCCAATAGAACTTCAACTTCAGGTAAGTCACGTTCAATTTCCTAATTCTATTAGCATCTACCGTAGAGATCCCCCACTAGATCCGAAAGTCACGTGGACACGATTCATGCCTACACGCAAATACAACATCAAGTAATAAACATGTTTTAATTGTAGATGTATCAAACATACCCAAAAATAATAACAAGTATGAACAAGGTTCGTGAGTTAGTTCCTTCTACTTCCCAACAAAGTGTAGTATCCGGCCAGCAATTATACTACAATCATTGTCCCCCCCCCCCACCCTCAGACATGAAAGAAGTACTACACTCGCGGTTATTAGCACTTACACGGTCAAGAGTTAAAGTCACTGCTTTCTTAGTGTTTTCCCCTGTCTCGATTTTCCTCTTGGGTTGGTTTTGATAATAGTTGCGTCGTTGGGGTCGGCTTTGCAAATGACCTCCTCGACGTTGGAATAAAAAAGGCACGTGGGAATTATAAGAGCCTGTCGACAGTTGATCGTTGCGTTTCCGTTTTTGGTTTGTCAGTTGCTGTGCAGCCTTCTTGCTTTCTTTTACTGTTTTGAGGCGTTCCTTTAAATCATCGCCAAACAGTTCTGCAGCAACAGGCTCTTTGTTACTAATCAAATCCAATCAAAATCAAAAAAATTGTTTAATATTAATACATCTTGCAGTTTTTACAACTGAATTACATGTATATTACAACATTATTATACACAGTCACAGTAATACAGTTATTTACAAGCATTAAGATTAATAATAGCAAAACTTAAATAAAGATTAAATGAAAGATGTATTACATAAGCATGTCGAATGTACAACATATGGGCAACCTACAATTTAAGAGATATGCTTGTTTGAGAAATTTGGAACAAAAGAGTTTTTAAAACGATTTGTGCAATATTTAGTTGCATAAAATGTCTTATTTGTCTTCAGCTGATTGTAAATGACATCAGTTCTTTGAGGTAATAAATTGTAAAGTTTGTGATTCTTATCGTTCACTATATCATTAAAGAATCTCCTACTGAGAGATTCATGTCTGTCGAACAGGGTCGGAATATAAGCTGTTGATAATGCATCTTTATTATGTGCTCCAGAAAATATGATGCCCATAGCTCTCTTTTGTATACGCTCTAAATAATCAGATAGATATTTTGGCAGACCAGAGTGAAATACTTGGCAAGAGTACACAAAAATTGATCTTATTATAGCGCAGTAAGAACAAACAAAGTCTTTTTTTTATCTTTATCAGCCCGTTTTAACTGCTTAATAAGTATAAACGTTTTGCTGCCTTTTTAGTGATAACATTTATGTGGTCGTTCCATTTCAAATCATTTCTTATTGTGACTCCCAAAATTTTAACATTTTGAACTCTTTCGAAAGGTTGATCATCGATTAAGATTTCATCAAACGTTGGAGTAGTTTTTCTGAAACATATGATAATTTCTTTACATTTCTTTGGAATCTATAAGAGAAGCTCTTTACATTACTCGGATAAATTGACTTTAATCCCATTAAAACTTTTATCACATGTGACAAATTTCACGAAAAACAAACTGTCAGATATTGATTCTTGACATAAAAGGGCAGAGTTATCTCAGATTTCAAAAGGACGCGAATTACAATGCTTTCGGTAAATACTAAAGAAAAAATTAGGCCCAAAGAATAGCAACGTATTAATGTTAAGAGTTAGCAACTCATAATGTTGAAAGTATAGTGATTGTGTGATGAGATTTAAATCCCTCGAATTACCATTGTAGTTTTCATAAGGGTAAAATACCAATAAACATTAAAAATGGGCTAGAAAAATGTTGACTAAATATTATTTCCTTTGTGCTGATGTAATAAACATTACTAATATTATTGAGTTAATTTCTGGCGGTTAACAATGCGAATAAGCACATGTAGTTATACATAGGTATTAGTATGGACACCATGTCCGCATTTTGGTTCAACTACATGGTCTTTAAATTTCACGCTCACCTACAATGAACATGAAACAATATAACTAGAAACATATAAAGCATTGAAAAGTTAATTGCAATTCAACTTACTTATAAGGAGGTTCAATTGGTGCTTGTTTTGCCATCTCACTTGAGGTTTATCAACAACGAGACTTCTTAGCACTCGACAGAGTACGACACGTGTTACAACACAGAAAGATGGATTTCCAAGTTCTAAAATCGTCTGTATCATAAGTATTTTTCAAAGCTTGTTTAAAGTATTCCAAAGTTTACATTTAAATCGAAAAAGGTTTGGTTTGTCACTGGAGAGGCTGTATGCCAAGATTTTCCACATTTGAGTTGACCTGTATATAAACCATTTTTGAAATTGGTTTAAAGAAGTCGAACTTGTCTTCAGATTTGTTTTGCTCAATCTCGACCAATTGGTTTTCTGTTTTTATAATTCCTCTGGTTATCTTGAAAAAAAGCCCTAAGTCAATATACTCGTGCAAGTATGAGTCTGTAAGACATTAAATTTGAAGTTTAATTGAAGTAATTATATATATGAGTTCACAAAGAAACGGTGGATCTAAAATAAATTTTGTGGCTTGTCTTTGAATTTTTCCTATTTGCTTGACACGACGGATTCTTTGATGAGACCATAGCATAATTGACACCGAACTAAACATTAGATAATGAATACAGCTAATATTCTTCATAATGCTTATTGTGGAACGACGTGCATAACCAATACTGGTCATTAACATGAGCTGACAAAGATAGGTTGGATGATGTTATAACTCCAAAATCTTGCTGGCTCATATTACATGATAATATACGACTTGCAATTCGACTATATCTCATTGTAAGTGTAGGACATTCTTTTGAATTAAGAAGCAAATTGATGTTGACAGCATTTTCATTTAATTACATCATATTGTTTTGCAATGCTTGAGCATCTTTGTAGTTCCCGAAAAAATTGCGAACAACGCAGAAGCTTTCCATAATTGGGTGGTAAGAACGGCGAAATAACCATTTTCATATAATATGTAGCTAAAAAAAGAGTCTGTAGTTTCCACCCTCATAGCGTTTCTTCAAAACCTCCTAGGGCGACTTTGAACTTGCTGATTATTTGTCCCTTGTCTTCCTCCGTCCCGACAGTTGAGAATGCTTACATTCTTCAGAGGACAATCATGGCAATCAGAAAGCTATCACATTTTACCCGCAAATTTTAGAGATTTTCTGCTCACTGCATGTAAATGGTGAGATGTCTTCGTTCATCTCCTGTAGTGAAGTTATATATTGTGCATAATGCTGTCACACGTGGCTTTCCAGTTTCCAACTAAAATAGCGGGATTAACCTGGAAGCACAAGTGTGGCACGACGTAATGTTGTTTTGCTGCTGCGCCTCATAGCCTACTGTTATTATGACACAAATTCACAATTACTTCAATTAATGTGAGTAATATATAGCTCTTGTGGATACTTTGGTTTATTCAGGAATTTGACTTTTTGGAACATGAGGAACATGAATTACGTGACCTGTGACAAAAAATGTATATCAAACGATTACAGATGTTACTGCTCCTTTTCTACCGCCAAGTGATGTTGCCACTTATGTAAAGCTGACTTTCTTTTCTTCAACAAATACGCAATTATTTTAGAAAAGTTGACTGTTCTCGTGGGCAGCAGTTGCAATTAAGTACAACAATTAAGTGGGTTACTGAAAGATCAAACCCCGATACTTTTGATGCTTCTAAGCAAGAGCAACAACTTTGTCTTTATTATGCCTCTGGATTTCTATTTAGTAAAACTTTTTATCAATAGTTCGTTAGCTCAGATTTGTGACGCTTAGAAACATTAGACTATTAAGAAGCAAATTGATGTTAATGCAGTTTTGATGCATTGAGAGTCGAATTATTATTTCATTATTCTTCAATTAAAGAATTAGAAATCATGCTCTTTTAGAGCTTGCTATTCCAATTAGCTATGTTTGATATTGAGATTTATCAAAGTCGAAAATGGTTGCCTTTAGGAACATACAAACAAGCGCATGCCCTTTTTAAGCACTTATCACTAGACTTTATATTGCATACATAGCATGTATTTAAAGCAATTGAATGTTGGCAGGAGCATGCTGGTTGTGAAGTCATACTACTAATTACTTTATTTACAGACATCAACAAAATAAGTCTAACTGAAAAGAGGATTGACATATTGTCATTTGATGGTGGAGGAAGTCGAGGTATAATGCAACTGAAGATACTGGACGACGTTTTACGATTAGCATCGATTGTTTTGAGAAATCCTGAAACGGTGGAGTACCTTGTAAACGAAGAAAGTACTGAACGGAAAAAGCATTTCTTGGAAGATCTTGCCGTTCGAGAATGTCTGATCAATAACCTAAAAGTAGTTAAGGATCCCATTCATCCCACCGATGTTTACGATATGATAGTTGGTACCGGTATAGGGGGTCTTATCTCGTTTGGTTTGGTTGGTGGAAATAAAGTTGAAGGCAACAATCATGAAAGGAAACGGATGACTGTGGAAGAATGCATTGAGACGTATCGCAGCAAAACTAAAATCATTTTCAAAAAAACCTGCATGCAAAAGATAATAGATTTTCTTTTTAGACTTTCTTTTATCCAAAAATTGCAGCCCATTTCTTTTGTTCCTCTTACAACATATTCACAAGCCAACATAGAGAAAATCTTAAAGGATCAGTTTGGTGACTGTGACTTAAATGATTTTAGAAAAAATGATAATTCCAGTAGTGTTGTCGGAGTTGTTGCCAAAAGAATTTGTCCAGACGAACATCTTGTACTCTTTGACACAGCAAATGAAGATCAACAAAAATACAAAGTTTACGAAGTGTTGCTTGCAACCTCCAATTCCCCATTTTACTTTAGTGACACTGTAGTCACAATTGGCAATGCTAAATATATTGAAGGTGGCTTAGGTGGAAATTGTCCGTTAAAACAAGCAATTTCACGAGCACAGGAACTTTTTAACAACGCAAAAATTGTTTCAGTTTTATCAGTTGCACCTCCATCATTTCCCAAATTAAAAGCTCCTTCTACTGGTGGTTTTATAACTTGGATGTCTTATCTTTCGACAGTATCTATTGATGGCAATATAGTGTTTGAAGAAGTAGTCAAAAGCCATACATTGGATGAAACTTTGTTTCAAAGGTTGTCCCCACGTGGTAATTCCTTAAAAACATTCAAGTTGGATGAGATCGATATAAAAAGGATATTAGATGCCATGGAAGAAGAAAAAGTTCAGGATGACATGTTTCTTGTCGACGTTGTTGCCAGTGCAATGGCTGTTGTCTTGGCGTCTATTGATAAAGTAGAAAAAATTCATAAAGATTCGTTGAGTGTTGCAGTAAAGCTTGCTAAAGCAGCAGGACTTGCGTACGAAAGCAAGAAAGAATATAAGTCAGCAATTGTCTCTCACCGAACTCGCCAACGTCTTCATACGTCTAACAAACGTACTCAAACGTCTTCAAAAGTCAGCAATGGTCTTACCACTATTATGACATCTTATGACATTGCAAAATGCTACAAAGAACAAGGAGATTATTCTAAAGCTTTTGAATTATTCAAATCAAATGTTGATACACTTGCTAACCAGAAGTTTGATGATCAAAAGTATGATGATCTAATTGTTGATAACTTGATCGAAAAACTGCACTGTTACCTCCAAACCTTTCAATATCAAAATGCAGAAAAATGTTTGAATAAAATCAGCCATTATGAGATCAGAGATGAAAAACGTGTCCAAGTATTGATCTATAAAGCATGGTACAGTCGTCAACAAGGAAAACTTGAGGAAACTTTCAATCTTTACAGGGATGCAGCCAAAATTACATTAGACAATGATAACTTTGACAAGGCAGAAATACTCAATAACATGGGGTTACTTTTTATAGATCTTGGTATGAAAGATGAGGCCTTTGATTTCATTCAAAAAGCCCAACATGTTAGAGTAAAGTTGATTGGACAGAAAGACGATGGTCTGTTGGCAGAGTCTCATGAAAATGTTGGTTTATGCCTAGTAGAGAAAGGCGATGGTAAAAATGCAAAAAAAGAGCTGCAGAAAGCTATTGAAATTTACTATAAAATTGGTGATGAAATTAAAATTTCTAACGTACTCCAAACTTTAGCCAGATGCATGTTGTTACAAGATCATTCGAACTACAATCGTGCCATAAGTTATGCACAAGAAGCTCTGCAAAAAATGAAACCACAAGTGCCCACGGTTGATAATCCGGGTACTGCTAAAATCCTGTCAATTTTCGGTAGGTGTTTTCTTGAAACTGGAAGATTTGAGGAAGCAGAGGAAAATCTTGTAAAAGCTTCGCGTTTGATTGAAGATTCGCTTTCCAAAAATCATCCACAGCTCATGGAAATCTATGATCTTCTTTCCCAACTTTATGATATGGATGGCAAACCCAAGCTGATCGAAGCGTACAAAAATAAAAAAAAAGGCATTAGCGATGAAATAGAAAAAAAAGCTTCGATTGTACAGCTGTCAGATCAATATCTGACATGGAAAAAACAATAAATAACTCGTCTTTCGTAATTAATGTTTTTAGAGCTGCTTTTAATGGAGCCTTTACAGGTAGTAAATTGCATTAATTATGCGGTTGCAAAATATACTTTTATTGACATAATTATGTGTATCTAAGTGTAAAATAAAACATTCACAGGTTTTTAATACAAACGTATGTTAAAAAGAAATATTACCAGTTAACATTTTTGAGGAAAGTTTAACGATGAATACATAAATGTTGCTTGCATTTGGAGGAATCAGGATCGATAAACAATAATGCTTGCACTTTTTTAAACTTCAACATCTCCATCAAGTTATAACTTCTCATATTTGGATTATAGGGCAAAAGCGCCTCAAAACTTTTAAAACTGGCTTTTGTAAGATATATAATTAAGTCTCTTACATCATTGACAAAGTTGCTAGGAAAAGCATGGCTTAAATTTTCAGTACCTATGAATGGAAAACACAACAACACTTATTGTTCTTCATGGAAACGTTAATTTGCAACTGTTACGTTTCTCATAAGAAGAGATAGCGAACAGAAAACTAGTCAGTAATTAAAATAAAATAAAGAATATATTTAAATTGATAGAGAAAAGTTCAATACAACTTATCTGAGATACAGGCGACGATATTGACAAACTCACACGAATGCATTCAAATGACCTTAGTTCCAATTTGTATCTAACCAGAATGCCTTCTGAATGAGTTTGTCAGCCTCCTTTTATACTAAATAACAATCTTTAAACCATGCTGAATATCATGCAAATCTACATTAACAATCTTTAAAACCAAATTGAATATCATGTAAACCTACAATAAAAAAATACATGGACAACAAGTTTGACATCATGATTCTACGCAGTTCGTAATCATGAGCATCCTAAATGTCATTATAGTAAAATAGTTCCTCTTTTCAAACGAGCTATACGTGCTCATAGTCATGCACATAACAGCAACGCCTATTATACAAATGCACTAACGCTTCTGTTAGACTTATACATGAAATCTCAATTAGCTGAATTATGAACTGACATCTTGGTTGTTGCACCATATGTCTTAACTTTTTTAAAACTCAACTATTTTATTTCTTACTAATACTAGAATTTATATCTGAACGCTTAGAGGAAACTTGATGAAAAATTTGTTAAGCATCAATTTTACCCATACAGAGTACATGTGGATTTATCGAGAAAAAGTCTCTACTGAAACATTTACTTGACAATATTACATTTTTAATCATTTAAAAATGATCTACTACGTCTTTCAAGTTGTATGAAAAATGAATCAATATCTTCTCTGAAGTATGATATCCCACGAAGTGCACGACAGCCATTGTGGAAAAAGAGCAGGTTTTCTTTAATGACAAAAGACACATTCAGGCATCTGTTCTTATTCAAGTTATGTCATTTTGACAATAAACTGCCTACATAGCTTGTAAACTGTGTACAAATCAATTCAATCTTGCAAGAAAATTTCCTGGTTTGTGAGGGGAAAAGAGTTTTTAGAGTCATGTTACTTATTACTTTATTTACAGACAGTCACAAGCTGGATTCAAACGAACAGAAGATTGCTATATTGTCTTTTGATGGTGGAGGAAGTCGCGGTGTGATGGAAGTGAAGATTCTGGACGACGTTTTAAGATTTGCCACAATTGTGTTGAATAATCCCGAGACAGTGAACTACCTTGTAAACAAAAGAAATGATAAAAAGGAAGTAAATTTCCTAGAAAATCGTAAAGTTCGAGATCATCTGATAAATGATATAAACAAAGTTGAAGATCCCATTCATCCCACCGATGTTTACGACATGATAGTTGGTACCAGCACAGGAGGTCTGATCGCGTTTGGTTTAGTTGGTGGAAATAAAGTTGGAAAGAAACATCACAAAAGGGAACGGATGACTTTGGATGAGTGCATTCAGATGTATTGCAAGAAGTGTAGAGAAATATTTAGGAAGTCCTTCTTCCACTGGTTTTATTCTCACATGCCATTGCTGTCTAAAATTCCGCTAGTACCATATTCACAAGACAACTTCAAGAAAGCCCTAGAGGATCAGTTTGGTGATTGCATTTTGAAAGACTTTGCCAAAAATAAAGGACCAATTGTCGGCGCGGTTGCTAGAAGATATGAACAAAAAAAGGAAGGTATTGTTCTGTTTGATACAGCAGATGAAAAATGTTGCTATAGAAACGTCTGTCAAGTCTTGCTTGCAACTTCAAATGCTCCTATTTACTTTGAAATACCAGTGAAAGTTGGCGAAGATAAATACATCGACGGAGGCGTGGGTGGAAATTGTCCTTTAGGGCAAGCAATTCCTCAAGCAAGGAAATTATTTAAACAAAATAGTGAAAGTGCGACAATAACTTCTGCTTTGTCCATTGCACCTCCTTCGTCTAATGAATGGGAAACTTGTGGTGTTTTTAAATTTATTAAGAAATTAGGTTTTTTAGCAAAAGTATCCACCAATGGAAATGTGTTGTTTGAGACTATAGTGGAAAACAATCAACAGAATGACACTTTATTTCAAAGGTTGTCGCCACGCGGTGAGAGCTTAAAATCATTCAAGCTTGATGAAATCAATGCACAAAAGATGGTAGATGCCATGGAAAAAGTAAAGGCTGAGGACGACATGTATCTTGTCGACGTTGTTGCCACTGCAATGGTTGTTGTCTTTACGTCTTTTGAAAAAGGGGAAAATAAGCAGAAAACCTCATCAAAGCTTGCAGTACAACTTGCTAATGCAGCAGGACGTGCCTATGAAAGCAAAAACGAATATGAGTTGGCAATTAACTCCTACCAAATAAGCAAACGTCTCCATAAGAATGCTGGCAGTGACAAATTTACTTTGTTTGAGATTGATTATGATATAGCAAAATGCCAAAAAAAAAATGGAGACTATGTGGAAGCAATCAATTCTTTCATGTCAAACGTTGACAACCTAGTTGATCAAAATAATGATGATCAAAAGTATGATGATCTAATTGTTGATAACTTGATCGAAAAACTGCACTGTCACCTCCAAACTCTTCAATATCAAAATGCAGAAAAATGTTTGAATAAAATCAGCCATTATGAGATCAGAGATGAAAAACGTGTCCAAGTATTGATCTATAAAGCATGGTACAGTCGTCAACAAGGAAAACTTGAGGAAACTTTCAATCTTTACAGGGATGCAGCCAAAATTACATTAGACAATAATAACTTTGACAAGGCAGAAATACTCAATAACATGGGGTTACTTTTTATAGATCTTGGTATGAAAGATGAGGCCTTTGATTTCATTCAACAAGCCCAACATGTTAGAGTAAAGTTGATTGGACAGAAAGACGATGATCTGTTGTTGGCTGAGTCTCATAAAAATGTTGGTTTATGCCTAGTAGAGAAAGGCGATGGTAAAAATGCAAAAAAAGAGTTGCAGAAAGCTATTGAAATTTACAAGAAAATTGGTGATGAAATTAAAATTTCTAACGTACTCCAAATGTTAGCCAGATGCATGTTGTTACAAGATCATCAAAACTACACTCATGCCTTAAATTACGCAAAAGAAGCTCAAGAAAAGATGGAACAACAAGTAGACAAGAAATTTAGTCCAGAAATTGCTAAAATTCGGTCGATTTTTGGTAAGTGCTTACTCGAAACCGGAAGTGTTCCAGAAGCAAAGGAAAATCTTGAAAAAGCTTCACGTTTGATTGAAGATTGGGTTTCCAAAGATCATCCACAGCTCATGGAAATCTACCAACTTCTTAGCCAACTTTATGCGAAGGAAGGCAAACCCAAGCTGGCCGTAAAGTACAAAAACAAAAAGACGAGCATTAGAAATAAAATAGAAAAAATAGCTTCGATTGTACAAAATTCAGGTGAATTCCTGACATGGAAAAAACAATAAGTAACAGTTTCTTTTACTTATCTTATCAATTGTTAATTGTCTTCATTTTTATCCACAGTTTGCTAGAATAGTCTATTTACTCAATAAATGCTATTGAAAAGAAAATCACCAGACAAAACGCTACTTAGTTATTTTAAAAAGCACAAAATAAGTAATGATCTCCTTATCCGAATACAGGTGTATGTATATTAGTCAGTTCATATGTATTTACCACGATAGTACACTCGTTTCTAATTTCTTATGTAAAACAACTGGAATACAGCTTTTTCAAAAAATTTTTCTAATTTTTGCGCATTGCATCTCTTTTTTATCGGATTTGATCGTCATATCTTGTAAAGTGGATGTTTAAATGCATCTTTTATCTTTGCTAGCTTTTGCTCTGTTGTTAATATAATCACGGAGTAGCTTTGTCAAAATTCTTGCAAACACACTCCTGTGTGTTTACCAATGATATTGGCACTTATTGCACGTGCAACATTTCATAAATTCCTACGCTCAATTTAGCGTGTCACATGTCAAATGTAAAGTATGGCAGTAAATGTCCATCATTTATTTAGATTTTGGTTTGTTGAAGAGTTTTTCACGCCAATATTGTTACTGTACTTTATTTATGAACAATACTTCTTATTTTCTTGATTAAAATTTTACTGTGCCGCTATTTATTGCATTTCTTAAAGTGCAAAATATAATTTTTTGAAAAGTTTTACCTTTTTTTACACTACCTAAGATCAACAGGGAAGTAGTAAAGGAGTCAGAGCTGGGCGTACTTGTAGAAATTTATCAAGCAATTTCATAAATTTGTATTCATAAATAACCAGAGCCTGTTTGATTTGTTTCATTTGAAGACTTTGATTGTGAGATGATGTTTACTGGTTACTGTTTTACTTGGTAAGTGTCAGGTTGGAAAAGTTCTTCAGCCATGGTACAAAACGAATAGAAAAATTTGCTATTGCGTACATGAATTGGTATTTGTCATCTGCAACTATTTATATCCTTCACATTCCAATTATGGCTTAGATTTGGATCAGGACAGTTTCTCTATCCTAATTTATAAGGTAAAATGTTTTTTAAGAACCAAATGATTTATGCTCTTGCAAAAGCAAGATATCTTTGTCAATTTGTGGTAGCCATTGCCTAATTTATGCTTTTGTAAATTATTGGTGTTTATGTCGAATGCGTGCAGACAAAAAGAATTAAGAAGCATAAAGCTTAAGATGGATGATAATTTTTCTTACAGACACCAGGTCATACCGTATCCCCTGAGTAAGTTAAAACAAATTGAATACAAAAAAAAAATATAGAAATGTTTTGTTTCGTGTATTTAGATAGGGGGAGAGTACACATGTAGAGAAATATTAACAAAAACTGACAGAAGGCGAAAAAATTGGTCCTGCTAAAAATTTCATTTGCTACATAAAACAGACACCACAAAAGTCGACAAGTTTGTTTGAGTTCAATTTCTGGCATGGAACTTTCCGGGGTAGAAAAAATTATGATAATGTGAAAAGCTTAGGCAAGTTTTTGTAGCTTTAATTTTATTCGTTTCAAACGTTAAATTTGGCATAATTTGGCAGACTCTTTAAGGTAATTAATATGCTTAAAAGCCTTTGCAGAAAGCGTTAAATTTGGCTTTATTTGACAAAGATCTTATAAGTTGTGTATTGCACAACTTCTGATTTGCCGTAACATGCGCTGAAGTTGTG